ATATGAAATATTTAAGCGGTATAAACGTAAAAAAAACAAAATTTAGGTGTTAGACATGTAAATACATAGAAATGGGGTGGTACGTACGTAAATTGCTTAGACATATGTAATTTACTTTAAATTTTGTTTTTAAATTATTTGATAAATGTTTTTATTATTTTATAAGAAAATAATTTTAAAAAAAGACTGATAATTTGGCCATGTATGAAAATACAATTTCAAAGATCACAACGCCCTGCAAGAAAACGATGAGATGGTTAGGTTCACCAACTGCTGCAAAATCTTAGTTTGGCGAGGGGTTCCATGTAATTTTTTTTTATTTTCTAAGTCCAAAAAAATAGGCGATTAGAGAATGTGACTTGAACCTAACAAGGTTTGATTTTTTTTTTAAATTTATTTATAAATTATTAATCCGAAGCACGACTTTTAGAGCAGACAAAAATTACTTTAATCCCATGAAAAACGGAGAGATGGAACCTTATTTTCTAATAATTGCATATAAAATTTGTTTTTTGCATGCAAAAATTCAAGTGAAATATTATATGTGACGGAATGTTCCCAAAGTCAATGAAGATAGACTTTCGTGAGCAAAATATTGGGAAAAATATTACATCAGGACTCTGCACGTGAGGGGAGTCCAATGAAATCACGTCACGTGAGGCGGTGACAAAAAAAATTGTCCGGCAACACAAAAAAATATTCCTCCCGTGTTATTCAGGTTTTATTGTGTATTTTTCAAGTGTTATTGATGTGTTTGTGTTATTATAGATGTGTTATTATATTATTATAACACCAAGAATATTCCCAGAACACAATAACACATGAATAATATATGATAAAACCTGAATAACATGGGAGAATATTCTCCTGTGTTACCGGACTGATTTTTTTGGCGTGATTTCATTGGACTCCGCACGTAACTCTACGTGCGGAGTTTTGATGTAATATTTTTTCAAAATATTAAGAGAGGAATAATGAGGCATGTGCCCATGCAAAGCATGCCTAAAAATAGAACGTTCAGTATGATTATTTATTTTATATAATCAGCTAATTATTTGTCAACTGAATCTACATATATTCTTTTAGCTGCTGTTTGAAAATGAATTTAGTGGATTTAATAAATTCTGTAAATTCAATATTTTAAAATCCTGTCAATATCAGGAGTAAATAAATCTGCGAGATAAATTAAATTTAATTTACTAAATTAAGGATCTAATAGTGTACAATAAAAATACATTTGACGGAGTCATCTGTCGATCTAATTGTATATATATATATAATATTTTTTTCGTATAATCATCATATATTAGGGTTAAATTTGAGTTAAAAATAAAATTTATTCTTTATTAACACAAGAAAATTTATGTTGTGAGATATTATTTTTTATTAAATCAAATAGAATTTACCATTTATTTAAGAAAAATAAAATCATTTTATTCAAATAAACTTATGAATATTTATGTAAAAAAATTAGAAATTTTAAATTTTTTTAAAAAAAATATTATTTTTAATAATGTTGCCAATTTTTAGCATAACATTTTTGAAAACTTTGATTAAAATGAATTTTTCTTAAATCAAAAACTAAATCTTAATTGAGTTAATAAAAAAATAGTTTTTTTAACATATAGAAAATATTATGTTAATAAAGCATAAAATTTATTTTTAATTTGAATTTAACCCTTATGAATAATAATTTAAGAGTAAAAATATTTTTTAAAAAATATTATTTAGTTAATTTTAAAAAATAATCTTTAAAAAAACTAAAATTTTTTTGAAGAGTCCATGCTCCTTCGGGCATGAATGAACTTAAATTTTCATTTTAATTTATAAAAACTTAAAAAAAGTATACATAGTCTCTGTGTAAACGATAGAAAATACATTATCTCTGCTTAACTCGGAGCGTTTGTATTGTCTATGTATATATCCTAGACAATCTTTATTGTTTAGTTTTAAACTTCACACAACCCTATTGTCTCTTTTTAAATGATATACAACTCCTATTATGTGGGTTTGTCACAGACAATCATTATAATATCTATTGAGACCCTTAATTTTTATTAATTTTATTTTATTTTATTGATATGCTAAATTTGTTTAAAAATTTTATATATTTTAAAGTTTTTTATATTTGAAATATTTGTACTATGGTGGACTAGCGAACCATCATGGTCATCCTAGCAGTCCAAAAGAAGGCAACCTTTAAGGTCAACAACAAACATTAGCTTCTTTAAAGTGAAGGCTTGATCAAGTATAATTAGTTAGGTATGGTGCTTAGCCTAGTAATATCATTTAATCATTAATCCCTTCCTAACTTTTTTTTTTTAATTATTAATTATGAGCACCATAGATTATTATTTTTCCACACCATATTTTACCTTGTTATCTTAGTCAAGATTAAGCATTTGATTGATGGAATAATTTAGGAATCATCGGTTGCCAAGTTTGGTGTGGATGGCTTTGGCTTAGGTCCAGAGGTGAGGTGAGGAATGAAATCCCTATCATTCATTTCTTGATAAGTATGACATATAAGCTTAATTTAATTGCATGCTAAAATCATCTTAAACTCCCTAGTTAACCCATTATTTTTATGACCATATAATCTTTTAGTAGATTCCCCTTATTCTCCAAATGTGATATAATAAGTTAAGTAAGCCCCACTCAACTAGTTGTTGAGTGACACATAAAAAGCTCATGTTAATTGGTAATGTTATCATCAAGACATTTTATAAATTTTAGAGTCTTATTAAATTTCAAAATAACATATTTCCCATCAAAATTAAATGAAAAAAAAAATAAAATATATAAGAAAAGCTAAGCCCCTTTTTAATGACATGCATAATTAATGAATAATTTAATAAATATCAAAGTAATTATAAAATACACATATCACCTTTGAGACTATTAAAATCATATTTATATTTTGGAGGCTTAAATATGCCAAAGTAATCTTTCGCATCTGTTAAAATTTATCCCATTCTATTTATAAATAATTATATGCCATCAAATTTTGGATTCAATTCTAATCTTTATTTGTTTGAATTCAAACATATTTGCATAACTTAAAAAATATCAAACTTATTGTTTTAGGACTTTAAACCACCTAAGTTAATTTTCATGAGTTCTTAGCATTTTTATTGATTATTTTAGAAGGGTAAATAAACTTATAAAAGTAGCACAAAATGTGATAATCACTTGCTTAATTATAAAAATGTGTATTTTTTTAAGCCGATATCATCTTTAGTTGAGAATATAAGAAGTCATTGGTTCGAGGTGTAAGTTGGTCACTGGTAAAATTTAGGTCATAGGTGAAATTGAAAAGTCTATTGATTGATTGTAATAAATTAAAATGTAGTTGAATTAGCGAAGAAAGATGATTAAGTATTTAGATTACCAACTACTTTTTTGTGGTTAATTAGGGTTAAGCCACTATTAGGGCTAAAAAAGAGTTAAATCTAATTAAACATAATCAAAGCGCAGTATATGAGATTAAGAATTAAATAATTTATGGTCTCCTCTTATACGACTAATTCGCTTAACTGTAGTCAACATATTCATCCTAAAACTGACTTTATATGACCTAGACTATTATTTAAGTTAGACCATGATCTTAAACTTGAAAAGAATGAAGGATTGTAATTCTTTAGATAAATTTATTGATGATTAAACAAATTTAATTGTTTAATCAATTTCATTAGAATTTCAATTTCAATTTTTTGGGCTAAAAATCTCTCATCATTTGAATATTCTTTTAAAAAAATAGATATTCATTTGCTTTCATTCTATTTTTTATAAGGATATATGCAATGATCTAGCTTAGTATATCATTCAAAATGAATGTTCATTTTATAATTATTAAATAACATTTAATCAATGCACATCATATTCAAGCCATGTGATTGTTAGTTTCAAAGTAAACAAATAATTAAATAAAAATTGCTTAGTTTTATACATTTCATGCCACACGTGGTTTAGCTTTATTTGCTTTAGTGATAATGTTATGAGTATCGTTTCATTAAGAACAAACCCATCTATATTTTGTGTTTACATGAAAACTATAACATCTTAGCTTTCAAGATATTTTGGTGGTCCTTATTTGTTGTTCTTTCCATATAAATTTATAAGATCAATAAAAAAAAAATATTTGTGTATTGCGTACATATTAGGTTATTCAGAGGGTACATATAAGTTATACTTAGGTTACTGTAACCTAAGTGTAACCTACTTGTACCCTCTCAATTACTTAATATGTACGCAACTCTGCGTATGTCTTATGTACACAAATATTTCTCCAATTTTAAACTTCTCAGCCTCTAAAAGATTCAAGTTATGAATACCACTGATCATTCAAATTATATTTAGATAGAGGACATTAATTTAGTCATATGCCAAGTTCATTTCAAAAAAATTAATTAGATGTTGGTATCTTTAATTAATGTAGCAAGTCTTCAACATAATATGTTCTCTAATGATAAATACATTAAGATTGTGTATGATTATGTAAATTTTTTTGAAGACTGTTAAGTATTGTATTAAAGAAGGAATGAAGGATAATGGAATGTACAAGCACAAACACACAATTTTTTAAAGAGGCAATTACTCGCAGGTCACTTGAGTCATTGATATTTACAAATTAACCACCTAGTTGATTTTGGTGAACTATAGGACCACTATATTTATGCTCGCTACCATCAAATTATTGAGAATTAGATTAAAATGATAAAAGTTGGGCTGTGATTATACGATGAATTTTGATATTTGAGTGAGAATTTGAAAAATAGATGAAAGGGACAAAGGACCCGGGGCAGCTTATAAGTGCGGGAGAGTTATTGAAAACACCGCGATATTGTTTGGAGCGCGAGTTTTGACCGTTTATCCGAAAATGCAGTTTAATTTTTACACTAAACGCACAAGCTGCCCCAAACACACATTTAATGAGTGGTTGTTTTCTAAATAGTAAATTAAAAGTCTCCCCTTTGTGAGTCAAATGAGCGTCTCTTCTTTGTTTTTGTTTTTGTTTTTTATCTTCATAAACCCTAGTTTTCTCTCCACAGCTCTGCTTTTCTTTTCTCGCCAACTTCGAAAACCTCAGGTCCCGCTCGTCATTCTACGGCGCCACAGCGGAGTGAAGGAACCCTAGAAGGCGGCTGCCATGATCTGCGCGAGTATGCTCTGCACTTTCATTATTTACTATTGTTTGCTTTGGTCTCATACTGAACGCTTCGTTGATACTGTTTCTTTAAGTTTCCGGCGAAGTGCCGGAGGATCCAGTAATATCCAAGAAGTCGGGGCTTCTGTATGAGCGCAGGCTGATCGAGCGCCATATTGCTGTAAGTTTTACGCGACTTTATGCTCTCGAATTTGTATGTGCTGGGCTTTATAGTTTCGATGCTAGGTTTAGCTTCAGTTTATTCTGCAATTTTCTTACATGTATTATGTGATCAGTTGTTAGTTCACATTCGCTGCTATAGCTGATTATTGCTTGTTGTTGATAGGATTATGGAAAGTGTCCTGTTACAAAGGAAGAGCTTGGGATGGATGATATCTTACCTGTGAAGACTAATAAGGTGCTTACTCTATATGCTCATGAAATTTAGTAGTACACTAGTGGTTTTGTTTTTCTCAAATAAGGCTTGAAAGGATAACAGTCACAGTTGAATTAATCTTAGCATTTTATTTTCCAGTTCATTTATTTTGCACTTCAGGTCTGTCTGAGGAAGACAGATTTCACAGCTAAGAATTGTCGGGGTTATGAATGTGCAATGGTTGTTGCTGTTCATTGAATGAATCTAGCCTGGGAGTCAGGGTTGCTTTTCTGATTCTGAAAAAAAAATGAGATGAAAATATGGTTAAGATTTCAGCTGCTCATTTTTTTTTACTTATTTTTCATTTGCTTTGAATAAGGTTCATACCAAGAAAGACCTTTACTAGTTTATTGGGCCTCTTTTCCATTTAAGCGCTATGTTTTTTTATGTAAAAATTGCATTTTTTTGTTAACATTTTAATTGAAAAAGAACCACTGACAAACAAAATAAATCCTTGGAAAAATATCCTGGGAGGCTACCATATCTATAGACTGTATAGTTATTCTAAAAGCTAGAAAAAATGCTAATTTTTGAATTCTTCCATCAGGGCTTATGGAGGTTATGAGAATTCTAAATTCTCCTATCCAGTATTATTGACTTAAGAATTGCTTCCAGTTTCACTATCTTGTATATAAAGTCCACTCCAAAAAGATGTTAAAAATGGGCTAGTGGGAGAGAGGCAAAAATTAATTGCCACCCATTGTTACTTTTTCTTTCTTCTTATGCACTCCACTTGTAATTTCTTTCATGGCAATTTCCAAACAGAAAAGGATGCTACTATTGCATTCGTGTTTCAAGTTAGCGTTGCCATGGTTCTCCTGAGATTCATGATTCCTAGAACTGCCCAATTATGGCCTCCCTTCAACTTTGACAGTTCTAGAAAAATTGTATGCTCGCATCATCTGTGATGTTGATGCTTAAGAAATATCACTTTCCTACTAGAATTTGTGACTTGGAAGACCAAAAGTGCGCTCCCAATGTCCTCTTTGGTATTAGTAGTTCCATATGTATTTGTGGTGCTCCTTTAGTGTTGAGTTCTAGCTTTGATGATTTTTGATAGATTGATAGATAGATAGAGGAAGCCTAATGTATTACTGTAGTTACAAATGGATTTGATCTGAAGAACAGGAGGTGATTTGTGCAAACTTTGGCATAAGAAGTAGTGGTCAGGTTTTAATTTCTTTTATCTTGGTGGCTGGATAAGATTATGCACTTGCTTTAATCTTACATAGATACCAATGCCAGCATATTTATTTGAGTTTAGTTTCAGTTATTTTTTTAGGTTTTTGATAGCTTGTAGCAATAGTTGGAAGGATCAAGTATTGAAATTTTAAGGCCCGTGCCACCTTAATATGTAATCGAGTGAACTAAGAGAGTTCTAAATCGATTAGTCCGGTCAAAATTTAGGCATAGATCCACACAAAAATTTAAACTTACGGTTAAGCTCAAATTCCTATTGGGTGCATGTAGAACTTAAAGTTTCATGAAGGCTACATGATTGGTTATATTGAAATCCATGGAGGAATAAAATGATTTCATCTAAAATGCCAACAAATCTCTTTCCTACATTCAAGTGGATGTCCAAACCATCTATATGATCTGAAATTTTTTTTCAAGATAAGAAGGTTTGCTTCTTAGATTATCTATCAAATGTTAAATTCAAAGAATGAATGAGCTATAATATTTTATTTCAAAGATAATTAGTTTTGTATTTTACATCTTAAAATTACATAGCTTTTACATAGGTCTTTTCATGCAACCATTCATTCAATGTGAAGCATTGAATGGAAGAATGCAAGAAGCTATAATATCTTTTCCTCTATCTCCCAATTCCCACTATTGATGGCCAAGTCTCTCAACCTCCAAGAATTTGATCACCAAACTCTGTCTCTTTCACTCCGAGGTTAATCTTTACTACGTCCTCTTTATATATTGTTTATATCCTTTCTTTGTTTGAGATTCATAATGAAGAAGAATAATTTGAGAGCATTTAAGAAGCACGAAAGGGCAAGGAGAAGACAAACAAGAGGGAAGCAAGGTGGGTGGAAGATCAATCAAGAATTAGGTGACGAGAAGATCCATAGGCTTCAAGATCATCAAGTCCTTAAGAGGTTTGATATGGGCCATCTCTCAGTTAATATGGTTTGCTAATTACTATTTTCATAAGAAACACCTTGATGTAGCTCCTCTCTCAATCTCCAAGAATTTGATCACCAAACTCTATCTCTTTCACTCCGAGGTTAATCTTTACTACGTCCTCTTTATATATTGTTTATATCATTTCTTTGTTTGAGATTCATAATGAAGAAGAGTAATTTGAGAGCATTTAAGAAGCACGAAAGGGCAAGGAGAAGACAAACAAGAGGGAAGCAAGGTGGGTGGAAGATCAATCAAGAATTAAGTGACAAGAAGATCCAAAGGCTTCAAGATCAACAAGTCCTCAAGAGGTTTGATATGGGTCATCTCTCAGTTAATATGGTTTGCTAATTACTACTTTCATAAGAAACGCCTTAATGTAGCTCCTCTTCATTATTTCTATTAAATGTTCTTCAAATCTTTTTGGCTATTGACAATAAAAATTGGAAACTCTAATTAGATTTTTTCATAGTGGAGCCCCATCTATATGCCTAGAATGTATAAGAAATAATTTTTATCTTGTATACTCATTTTATTAATCAACGGAGTTCTTATGGTCTTGGATTTTAATTCATAGGTGTTCTAAAGAGCATTGTTAGAATTACAACCTTAGTTCGTGAAACACTCACACCTTTAGTATTCATAGGTAAATGTTAAAAATTCATCGATATTTATCGTCCTTGATTCTGAATCATATTTGACATCAATGTGGTGATTGCTCTTCTGTGAGTTGAGATTCTTAAAAATTTTAGAAACAGGATATTCTTAAAAATGATAGAAACAAGATCACACATATTTGACAGTATTGAAGTTATTAAACCGATCACTATATAAGGAGAAACATTATGGTTACTTTTGGAGTTTTAGAAAGTAGATTTTGCGAACTAAAAATGATCAACTTCCTTTAATAGATGACTATCTAGGATACCAATCCCTTTAAAGTAAAATGATGTAACTATTAATTGTGGTCTCATCGATAAAGAGCCATGTTTCTGGATGAAGGGGAAGGAGTATTGGAAGTGCCATTCGATGATGAGGAAGGAGAAGGAAATAATCTCCACCTTAGACTCTATATCCATTCAAGGTGGGGTGGATGTGAAGTATCAAGTTGGTGACATAAAATGTCTCTATAATTTATATGGTGGAATAACCATTCAGTTAATAATTTTATGGTTGAATTAATGTGGTCCAGGACTAAGTGTTTGTTTTGGTTCTAATTTTATCCCATTGTCTGGGGGAGGAGAAATGGGCTTGATGGCAATAGTGAGGCAAAGGTACAAACAATTTGTGAAAGGTTATACAATATGTTTCAATGGGAAGGCTTTGCTCTAGGTTTGTTCTCGCAGAAGTCCATTTTTTAACATAGTTAAATTGTATGGGAGCTCTGAAGAGAGCTAAAATTATTACGAATGGTGGATCTCTCAACAGGAAAGCATAATGCCATTGCAATTGAGGAAAACCAAGCCAGCCTTAGTAATAAATGCCAAAAGCTTATTTAGATGATAACTCTAATAGAGAAGCTTGAGGTGGATAGGAAGGAAAGTCAAAGAACCTACTGCAACCACTGCAAGCTCAAGGTCATTTAGATCATAACTAGTTGTAATTACATCCCTGGTAGTGGTTGGAGCATGAGGAAACGAAGAAAACTCTCATTGCCATAATTGATGAGGTTGTATAATTGACCTTCACGGTAAAGGAGTATTATTCTTGACCAAGAAAGAGAGTTTTCAATTTAAGTATTTAGATAGAAACGTCTATTATTCATGTATTGTATTTCATGATATTGGTAAGACTATTTTTTGTTGCTCTAATTGAGATAATATGATTAGCTACTACACCATACCTGAGTCATTGTTTCTACAACCACTACAAGCTTAAGGTCATTTAGATTATAACTACTTGAAATTACATCCTTGTTAGTGGTTGGAACATGAGGAAACAAAGAGAACTCTCATTACCATAATTGATGAGGTTGTATGATTGACATTCATGGTAAATTAGTTTTATTCTTAACCAATTAAAGGAGTTTTCAATTTAAGCATTTAGATAGAAATGTCTATTATTCATGTATTGTATTTCATGATATTGGTAAGACTATTTTTTGTTGCTCTAATTGAGATAATATGGTTAGCTACTACACCATATCTGAGTCATTGTTTGAGGTGGATGAAGAAAAAATTTGGGTTTAGTAAGAAAGCGGACTTCAAGATTTTCCATTACTGGCAATTGTTATAACCTACAATGTAATTTTCTCGGATGTTATTTAACGTTAGGAAATCCACATTTATCGTATTGACATTGTGTGTATTAGGGAATAAACATATATCCTTACAAAAATGTTAAGAAATTTGTACTACACATAATTTTAACAGTGCAAAATCTGAAGGCAGTATAAATACCACAAAGTGACTATCTTTCATTCTCGCAAGGCCCTTTGCATCCTTCCTGCATCAAACATCATTCTAAGAGTGTCAAAGTGAAAAAATAAAAAAGAAAAGAAAAGTAGAGGACTAAGAGAAGCCATTAAAAGAAGCGTTTTTTTTCAACTCAAAAAGAGCTTAAAAGCCCTCTTACCAAATGATTTAGGAGTTGAAAATACTGGTACTTTGCCAATCTAGCTAAGTATTGTAGTCATCTAACTAGCATGGATTATTGTCTAAAGACAAGCGTCGATTTGAAAGTATAAATGCTTTCTAAAAGGAGCAATGGTCTAAGAGGTTCCAACAATCCAACATTAACTAGTTTTAAGTTAAATGCCAGGCTCGGATCAAAGCCTAAACGTTAGACTTATTGTTATACTCATGTTAGGCTCAATAACCAAATAGGTGTATGCATTACAAAATGCTCCTAAATAAGCTAGCATAATGTTTGCTAAAGGAATTGAACATGTCCTAAATATTTTATTGATTGTAAATAGTGCACAAGCTAATTACAAATAACAAGGGAACTATGGTATTTATAGAAGAGGATGGCACATGGTTAGTTATTGGCTGAATTTCATGCAAGATCCTAGGAATTCTTAGCTTAAATCTTGGCACAAGGAAGATTTAAACCTTTAACAACAATCCTGAGAACTATGGAGAATAGTTTTGGAGCTAAAGGTCCTTTTTATGGTTGACTTACATTCAAGTCCAAGGAAAAAATATTGCTCAAAATACCCTCTAATTTATCTCTTAGTTGCAAGGGGCTAGCTACATGAAGAGGAGAGATGATGCAATTTCAAAACTAAATACCTAAATAAGGGGTTAGCATTATCAAATGTATAGATGAATTAGCTCTTATCTTGCATCTTTAGGATTGTTCTATTGCATTTGTTTTCTATAAATCCCTTGGTTGTATGTAAGATTATTCATTTAATCATTCATTTTAATGCGACAAAATTGAATCCAAGTTCTATCATGCACTATGTTTCCCTCCGTTATCCTATAATAGCTAACGAAGGGTCTCCACTTTCAAGAATGCAGTCACTTTGCTTTCTCTCTCTGATGTCAATCCTCATCATCGCTCTCTCTATACTACCTCCTCTCCCTATCTAATCTCTCTACCCGAGAGTAGTAGAGGAGAAGGATAGCATTGAAGGAGCAAAGTGGAATCTTTTAAGGCAAGGAAGAATCAAAGAAGAAGGATATCCAATGACTTCATGAAAAAGGAGTTTTCAAAAGGTTTGGAAAGATCCCACTAGCTTAAGCTGCTTTTTTTATCAGAAAGCTACTTAAGTGTATGGCCCCATTGTTACTTCTACTTGATATCCCACAATTTCCTTAGTCCATGAATCTAATTTGGGTTTCCTTTTGTTGATGCTTACCTATAAACCTTAGAATATATGATAACTTATTTTATGCTTCAATATTTATTAATTAAAGCTGTCCTAAACCTTGGATAGTAATCAATTGGTGTTCCAATGGTCAATGCTAGAGTATTGGCTTGGCTTTGATACTCACACTCTTTTAGCATATCTAGTGTTGCAATGAAAGTTACCAATAGTCAATCTCCTTAATCTAGGCTCATCGGAACAAATAGGGATTATTATATTTAAATTATAATTTGTCGGTGTTTAAGAAGAAATTTACTTTTTTATTATTTGTATCATCTTTGGTTCACTAAGACACCTTGGAAGACATTAATGATCTCCATTATTATGTTCCTTGGGCATCATTAATGAAGGGATCTTGTTTTAATCTCAGTGCATCCTATTTTTGTTTCGTTAATAAGGTTTTTGAGGTGTTTTCTGAAATTTTAATTTGCAGATCATGTTACAACGTGCCTACTATGGGCATCTTTATCATGAACATGAATATTGTTTAGTTAATATTAGGAAGACCATGAAGCATGACTTGTTTTAGTGAGTTTCTTCCGATATACACTGGAAAGTTAAGCAGGGAGGCTTTCGTATTTTTTTTGTTTATTTCTAACAAAGAAAAATAATTGCTAAAATCATGTTGGTTGAATAAGCTAACAAATTTTAGGATTAGCCATATGCGCTTGTCAAAAAATGTACAAATAGAGAGTGTCCCGAGTGTTTTGCAAAGTCTAGGCGAAGGATATTGCGTTCTTATAAGACAAGTCAGGCATAAACTTTATTCCTTTTTTGTTTGCATACAATCTGCTGGCATTATCTTAATCGCAGAGGTTATTAAACTTATCCTCAGGTTTTTTGCAAACAAAAAACATATTGTCAATCGAAAAAATATAATGCACTTAACCCTAAGCCTAGTTTAGAAATCTTGTTAATGTATTACCATATGTCTAAATTTGACATTCCACCATTTTTACCTTGTAGTGTTTGAATTATTGAAACCCAATGCTCTGGCTAAAATAGAACCATCAACATTTTAAAGAGTGTTTATTTGTCTATGGTTTTTGAGTTGCTATTTATTTTCGTACAACTAAATGAATGAAATGAGAGCAAGAAAAAGCTACATTATAACATGTAAATATTTATGTTTTGATTTTTGTTCTAGTTTTTTGATCATCATAAGTGTTATTGAGATGGTTAAATCTAAATCTATTTTTATTTATACTTCATAATTCGGAGACGATGATCTCCTCATCAGCTCCTTGTATATAAGTTTGAGAAGGGCATATAGACATGCGGTGAACTAGACCAGAAACATTATTAGAGTTCATTGAATATTTGGTGAGCATCTTCTATTGGTATGGACTCTCGGTTGCTTATCAACTATATGTATTACATTTAGATTAAAAGTTGGTAATGCTGGTAAAATTATGTCAAGCTCACAAAACTCTATACCTAGGTTATTATCAGAATAATTTAAAAATCAATCATTATTTATTTTTATGTTATGTCCTAATTCATTGTCGTTGTTTGCAGGTAGTGAAGCCTCGACCCTTGCAGGCGGCAAGCATCCCAGGATTGCTAGGCATGTTTCAAAATGTAGGTATTGTTGAATTTGCTTGTTTCATGCAAGTGTTTTTATTTCTCAGCCTCTTATACATTTATATGATTCATTCATTTAGTATGTTTAAATTCTTTTTGTGTATTAGCAATCATACTTTTTTTTTTGTATTCTAAAAAGCTAGCCCAAAAAATGTTTGGATGAAGGCTAATGATGATGGTGATAAGATGGTTTTTTCTTTCACTTTCTAAATTTTGATGAATGAATTAGCAGTCTTCGTTTTAGGCTTATGCATATATTTTTAAATATTTTTAATCTCTGACTAAGCGGGGATTTTTGGATTATGTAACCATGAATTTGAAGTCCATGTATTATTGTATGTTGTCGTTATCTCTTGGGCTTTTCATTGAAGTGCTCCTCTTATAAGACACTTCGTGATGCATCTGGAATGCTGTAGCACTGTGGGTTGTTGGTCTATATATCCGTCACAGATGGTTTTGATCACGGTCATCATCAACTTATTTCTTATTTGAAACTTTTTTTGGGTTTATTCTCTCAATGCAACAAACTGTTTTGATTAATTGCTAAAATTAAACCTCATCATTTTCTTATGTTGGTGCAACTATGTTTTAATGTGATACCAATTGCGGCATTTTTTAGTGATGTGAAATTCATGAATTTAAATAATCTTGTGTCTGCTCTGATGATCTGAACTCACTTTTAATTTACCGGGTTCATATATTTTTATGGGTAGATGTGACAACAATATTTTTTTGGCAGGAATGGGATGCTTTGATGCTATCTAATTTTGCATTGGAACAGCAGTTGCATACCGCGAGGCAAGAACTTAGTCATGCCTTGTATCAGGTATTCAGTTTTTCATGCGGTTTTTTGTTTTACTCTTGAGGAACTTTACATACTAGCAAGTTTTGCGCGTGCTTCAGTAACACTAGTGATTTTACGAACTTGATAAATTGCTAGAAATAATCTGTTACTCCTTTTGAGGACTAAACAAATTTACTGTGCATACGGGCTTATGTGACTGGCTGATTCAATGCATGAGAACATTCTTTAGATTTTATTCGTAACATGGACAAATAATTGTTTAAGTTTTATGGAAGATTGACATCCATACCACTCAGTTTCTATATATTTACATATCTAACAACTAAACTTCAATTTTTACATGCATACCCACCGCACCTATGCATGTAAAGATGCATTTGACTTTTTAAAAGTTGAAATAGTGGTATTTTTATGTGATGTGAAATAATTGTGGGCTATAAATGTAAAAAATGAAACCTTAGGTGTTAGATATGTAAATACATAGGAATTGGGTGGTATGTATGTAAATTGGGTGGTGTGTATGTAAATTCCCCTAGTTTTAATTGTCATGACACCTTTATATGATTATTAATGTTTCGTCATTGAGCTCATCAGAAGGTTTTGTTGAGAGCATAACCTTTGATGTACGTTTTCTGGGACATGCATGTATAATACCGCAGGGGTACCTTCAAAGATGCATAAATCATACGACGGGTTGGAGTTTGAGTTTTGCAAGATAAATTAACCTTTTCAAAGGCAGAAACTCATTGGAAATATATAGGCTGTTTCCTATTATATTTAATTGATAAAGGAAGTATTTGTTGTTGTTGACCTCTTAATGATTTTGCTGTCTGTCGCCCGCACCTATGCAGAAGTTTCCAAGATTGCCTCATCCACCACCTATGCAGAAGTTTCCAAGATTGCCTCATCCACCACCTATGCAGAAGTTTCCAAGATTGCCTCATCCACCACCTATGCAGAAGTTTCCAAGATTGCCTCATCCACCACCTATGCAGAAGTTTCCAAGATTGCCATCCACCCCACCAATCCTTTGTGTTGTTTCTTCTTTCTTTATGTATCATTGTGATAAATATCTGAATTGAAATAGTCTAATCATGTCTTATTACTTTTTTTCTTTTTCGTTATTTCTATTTAGAGAAGTATTTTTTGCTATCTTGAGAAAAAAAATGTGGATTATCTCTTCTATTTATACCTAGCATATACTTCAAACTATTTGAAGAATTGAATCAATAAAGGCTTTCACATATTTTTATGACATTTAGAGTAATTCCATTAGCTCTTATATTTTTTCTCCCATCCTTTTTTGGTTGTTCTTGCTTAAAACCTTCTTAAGGCCGTAACTGCAAAATCATTTATTAAGGTGATATCCAGCACTAGTCCATATATCCTAATCAAAGGCATCACCTTATTATAAACCTTTGCCTTTCTTGTTATTGACCACAAGTTTAATGGGCAAAACTTCATTTAAGGGTATTGTTCCTCGATTTTGTTTGTTTGTCTTTGAGAAGGCGTGGGGGATTTTCTTATAGGACTGATCCATGTACCAAATGAATAAAGCCTCAAGTTTAATATGGGGATGGTGAAAACTAGCATTATGATGTCTTGGCTGATAAAATTCCATGACAAATGAAATTAGAGAAACATTTATATGCTACACGCATTAAAATGCAGCTTTTTTGTAGGATTCATGAAGCCTTCTTTAAGGTATGAAGAGAAGAAAACATGAGAAATGTATTGTTGGGGGGTGCTCAATGATTCCTGTAATTGGACAGCTTTGCCCTTGTAGCCTATGCAACTAAATTTAACCATCACCAGAAGACTGAATAAACCTTAGTGCGATTATTGTCACATGATGGACAGCTTTGCCCTTGTAGCCTATGCAACTAAATTCAACCATCACCGGAAGACGAATAAACCTTAGTGTGATTATTGTCACATGTTAGGACACACTCATGAAAATTGCCAGAAGATACTCAGAAAAGCTCCTGACTATAATTCAGTAACAACACTAAATTGTTAAGTTCATGGTACTGACTCAATCATTTAACTCAAGAACGTTCAACAAAAGGGATATTGAATTCTTTCAAAGATGGCTATGGCAATCATTAAAGTCTCTACAAACCCTGCGAACCTCTGTATTTGTTGTGAGCTTTGCTTTTATTGTTGAAAAAGGTAATTCTCTAAACGCTTACCGATTACATCTTGAAATGTAAAATCCATGATTATCTACTCATTAATTCTCTAAGAACTTTCTTAGTTACATCTAGAAAAGCAAGATTGACGAATATTGACTCAATTGAATCACATAATTTATGACGCTCTCCAGAAATTTCACTGTTTGAATTGCAGATGTTTCCTTTCTGCTGTTGTTGGAATTATATCTCTCATACATTCAAGGGATATTGCTCTTAAATCTATGCTTCTTGTTCTAAAATTTGATTGTAACATTTTTTTCCATCAATAAAATTACAATTAGTTATAATTATTCCCTGAAATATGCGAATTTCAGGTTTTGTTTTCAAGGAAGAACATTGATAATGTTGGAATGGTTGTTGATCTCTACTTTCTGAGAAAAGAACACAATTATGAAAAAACATGTGCAAATTCATCTTCTAGCATGAATAACAAGAATGTCCATGTTATGGCAGATTATGCCATCCAAATTTCTTGTATCTAAGGGTTTGTTTAGGGCAGCTGCAGTTTTTCAGCTGTAGCTGCTTCGGGGAAGCTGACTGTTTGTTTATTGCAGCTGTGTGAAAACAATTGCGGGACAACTGTCTGGAAAAATGACCATTTTGCCGTTGTTTAGTAAAACTGTTTAAAACAGAACTGTGACAGCCACATATTTGATACTTCAGAAGCAAAAATTAATTTCAAAACAGAATAAAAGTTTAATCAACCAGCTCCACATCATATTAATCAAGTTTTTCCATATAATAACATCACTTTTAAATAAAGAAAATTATGCATTTAAAAATTTTCAACTTACCTTACTTTAAGCATTGCAGTGATGCAAAAGAGCTTATTAAGATGCGTTGAGATTTATATTAGAATCAATCAATTAGGTAAGTTCAAAGTTTAGCAAACAACCAAGATTGGGCCATTACAAATGAAAAATAGTACCATGGAGTTTGCTTAGAAAAGTACTAACCATAAACTTGCAAAAACAAAGCTTAATATTAGGATGTTAATTTGCAGTACCATGCCAAATCTTGCAGTGTGTGTAGCCATAATTATATGCTGAAAATTAGAATAATATTTTTACATGATTAATCAAATATTTAGAGCTCTAGAGTGATAGAGGTTATTAAATTTAAAACTTATTAGATGTATCCAATGAAGACTTGAAACACTCAAATTTACTCATTAGTTTTCCACTTTAATATCTCATGAGAACCAATAAAAAAAGGGTAAAACGACAATAAGAACCCGTAGTATTAGCATGATGCTAGATCTGTCAATTACACCTTTCACTGAACCTACTACATTAAAAAGATTATGAAGAAATCATCACAAAATCAGAACAATAAAAAAATTTAATTTCCTTCAAGATCTGATCTCCCTAAACCTAGGGGGTTTGTTGGCCTACGATTAAAATTTAACTCAAGTAGAATTTAGCAAATCCTTAAAATGCAATTTTAGAAATTTTGGTGATGGTATATCCAAAAATTGTTCGACATGGCAGTTGCTAAATCTAACTACATCTTCCAAAATTATTTGATTCGTTTTTCCAGTTTTATGATTTAAATGAATACAAGGTTTAATCTATAATCTATAATTTATTTTCCAAATATAAGATCTCACTACCCATATCCCCAAAATTCACCAAATCACGAATTTAGCCATTTAGGGCAGAATAGGACTAAAATGAAATTTCACCTAAAAGAAAGATTAAATTCCAAAAAAATAGTTTGACCCGATTTGAGTTAGTTCTTGCTTAAATCTTGCTTAAATATGAAACACTTCCTCAATTAATATCTAGCTCAATAGCATCATCAAATGTATCATTACCGATAACAATAATCAATCATCGACAAATTATCGTTGCATTATAGAAGGAAAGAAAGCAATCTCTAATAGCTAGCTAAGCATAAATGATCGAGTACTTGAGCGAAGGAGTAAATCAGACTATTGCTGAGAGATCTTGGAGCGGACCAACATTGGATGACCTCCCCCTCATGAATCGCCATTGCTTTGTTTCTCTCTCACTCTCTCGCCTACCGCTGCCAAATTCGCGTTCCCCCTGCGTGCAGGACGCTAAACCAAACAATAAAACTTCGCGTTCCGCTGCCGTGATGCAGGGGGACCGCGGTCATAAATGGACCCTAAAAAGATTGTTTCCTACCTTATCAAAGCAAAATTTTAGATCTTATCAATGTGAAATTCGTCAGTTATCTAAGCCCAATGGTTATTTTTCCATTTTTTTTTATCGATAGTGATGTCTGGGGTCAATTATATCATTAGCACTAGGTTGTTCGTCACATTTATTTAAGATCACTTTAGATTCATTTGATTGTTTCTTATGAAAGTTAAAATTGAAGGTAATACCTATATTATAATGCAATAACATGGCACAGACATAGTTCGAAACTATAATCCTAATTTTTTTGTGGGTTCTAGAACTATTTATTGGATCATGTTTTTGTTCATTATACACATATTTTGACACTACTGTTAAATGGAGTCATTGAAAGTAAAAAAAATAGACATATGATGGAAGTGCGTCAATTAATCATGCTTATGTTGCTTCGAACTTGAACCCGAGTTGCATTAGGTGTATTTTCTTTTGGTACTCATTGAAGAAAAAGGAGTACAAGTGCTATTCACCATCAACAAAAGAATTCTAAGCTATCATGGATGCTACCTTCAAAACTAAATCTTTGACACCAAAGCTGATATTTAGGGTAGAATTTTATTAAATATCTTTTTTTTGGGTATGGGGACTGCTATTGATCCATCCTTGTTCTTGCCATTAGTTCAAATAATCTCTAACGTATTTCTGCCAAATTCATTTTGAAACAAACGGTCACTTTTCGGAGCCCATGCACAACGCTGCTGTTAAAAAATGATTATTTACTTTTGGGGTTTACAATAAAAAAAGGATTAATAATCCATACATTTCTTGATACCGAACCACAATTTCAGACTTAATATGGAGACCTCTTAACTTCTTATCAATAATAAAACCAATGAGCCATCTTTATGTTATATTGGTCAACCTGTTGAATTTAAGAAAGATGTTAAATTGTGCACCTAGCTTCCTATGAGCAAATTTTGTTCATATGACAAGTTACCTCCTAACTATTTTATTTTGGTCATATCATTAATGAATGCTTAAATTTCATACAACTTTCAAGAAGTTCTTGGGCTACCTAAATAGAACTATGTTGTAATAGAAGAAACATAAATTCTTAAAAGAAATGTGACATAGAAATTGCTTAATTTTCTAATGGAAATATAGTATTTATATGTAAGTGGATTTTCTCTACCTTTATGAAAGTATTAAATGATCTAATACTTGTTTGGTGACCAAGCACTTCACTTAAGTTAGATAAAGTATGAATAGATTTTTTCCTTGATGATTAAACTTAGACGTCATTTGTGTACTATCATGCCTTGCAACAAACTTGGCTCGACCCATACATCAAGTAGATGTTAAATTTATTTTTTAATGTTGATCTTGAAGATGGCTATATGAATGTCCCTCTTTCTGTGAGAGTCAGTTCAAATTTGGCAAGATATGCTAGCTTGGACAACTATGATAGGGTTTGAAGCAATCACTTTGCGCATGATCTGACCAATTATCAAGTGTGTTTACCAATTATCAAGTGTGTTTAAGATGGATGGATTCTCTCAAAGCTAAACTAATGCCATTTTAATCATAAAATATATGTCAATTTGCAAGGCTGCATACCAATTGTTTGTTTTGATAACATTATCTTTATTAGAAACAAAAAATATATTTAGGCGAAAAAAATTGATATTAAAAACTTCGGAAAACTTTGATATTTTCTAGGTAAATTACTTGATAAAATTGTCTTTTATGTATTTCAATGAAAGTATGTCCTTGTTCTTTTTAAAGAAAATGAAATGTTGAGCTGTAAACTAATGGACACATCAATCAATTCAAAGGATAATATGAGCACTGAGGATGGAAGTTCTCTTACTGATAAAAGAACATATTTGAGACATGTTGGGAAACTAGTTTATTAGACACATACCAGTTAACACGGCCAATAAATTCATGAATAATCCCACCGAAGCATATCGGGACTCTTTTTCGGATCCTTTAGCTTATGGATAAGAATCTTGGCGAAATAATAGATTTTATAAAAAATCTCAATAAAAATGTGATAATCTTCACTAATTTAGACTTATCAAGTTCTGCTAATAGTAGGAGATCATATAATGGGTATTGCACATATGAATGGGGAAACTTGAGAAGTAGGAAGTAAATTGTTGTGGCACAAAGCAGTGCTGAAGAGGAAGTATAGGGCTATGTCATATGAGATTTTGGAAGGTATCTGGCTGAAGAAAATGCTTAATTCCAAAGAATATATCATGTGATAATAAAGCCACTGTCATCGTTGCAAAGATTGCAATCCTTCGTGATCGGGTCAAATTTATAGCAATGGATCACCAGTTCATCAAGGAAAGTATGTTTGCATTCCTTCAAAACTTCTGACGATTGAAATTCTCATTAAGGTTATGCACCTCATCAGTTTTGAAAGTTTGAGCTCCAAATGGGCTATGATTGGTGTCTTCTACCCAACTTGAGGATTTTATTATTTGCCACATCAGTTTTGAAAGTTTGAGCTCCAAATGGGGTATGATTGGTGTCTTCTACCCAACTTGAGGATTTTATTATTTGCCACATCAGTTTTGAAAGTTTGAGCTCCAAATGGGGTATGATTGGTGTCTTCTACCCAACTTGAGGATTTTATTATTTGCCACATCAGTTTTGAAAGTTTGAGCTCCAAATGGGGTATGATTGGTGTCTTCTACCCAACTTGAGGATTTTATTATTTGCCACATCAGTTTTGAAAGTTTGAGCTCCAAATGGGGTATGATTGGTGTCTTCTACCCAACTTGAGGATTTTATTATTTGCCACATCAGTTTTGAAAGTTTGAGCTCCAAATGGGCTATGATTGGTGTCTTCTACCCAACTTGAGGATTTTATTATTTGCTTCTGATATTTATGAATTCTTGAGTGTCCACAACGTCCATCCAACTGCATCTGTCCAGTAAGTTTTCAAGATTGCCTCATCCACCTCTACTATCCATGTCACTGCTCCTTTCTCCTTTGTGAAATATTGAATGTAATAAATATCCAATTTCTAATATTCTGATCATGTATTATTATTATTATGTTTCTGTTTACTTGTTTTTGTTTAGGATAATTTATTGAATTATTGTTGATTATTTCTTTTATTTATATGTTGCTTGACTCTTAGGAGTCTTTAACTTGAATCAAATTAATAAATTCATTCATATATTTCTATTGGATGCTTAATAATTAAATACTCTATATTAATTTCCGTAAGTCATGCTCTGAATTTGTGGACATGTGGAGTTGAAGAAATTATTATGGATCGGTTGTTTTAGTTATAAAGGGAGATACTGCTCAGATAGAGTTCAAGAACCTTCTAGCTGTATTGGTAGCTCAACTTAAATTGTTGGATTTGTGCTTGGTAAAGTTGATTATTAAAAATTCAGTCTTAAATGCATTTGCATCATTTAAAAATTAGCTATCCAAATATTCTCAATTCATTGCAGCTTTTGTTTGTTAGAAGTTGTATTTGTGATCTTGTCATGCTTCTTATCTTGTCTCTTATATAGGATGTTGATGGCATTTGAAGATTTAGCTCTTTGTCAGTCGTGCTTATTAAAAATGCACAAAAGATTATACATTTCTTGCTTGGGCTTTTATAGAGATTTTTTTTTTATATTGCGAGGTCTTATTAATAATGAAGCAATTGCAAATATTTATCCCCTATCAGGCTTTGCCTGTATTTATTTCCATTGCAATTCTTACTATAACGTTGTTCTTTTTTGGTTTTGTCAACATTATTCTTTTGATTTAAATGAGTGGCAGGTACTTTAAATTTGTATTGTTTTTCTTTTTTTTGTTTAATTCTTGTTGAAGTGCTGACTTAAACTTTAGCAGTTACTGATTGTGTGTGAAAAATTTCATCACACAGGCCACATTAACAATCCAAAATAAAATGCATCTTTATAATATGGTTTTACCTGTTTTCAAAGTGTGGCGTGTTCTTTTGTTTTTTAGCTTGTCAGCGATGGATGGTTCTCAGCAGATTGAACATTTGAAGTTGCATTAAATTAGCTACATGCCATAAACCGTACTTGTTTTTACAAATTGTGTTAATCTGCTGAAATCGGGTTATTTGTGTTATATTTTTTATATGAAGCATTTTGTTTAGTGCCATTTTGATTCATAACTGAGTTCATGTTTCTAATGCGTATTTTTTTCTAGTACATTTAGTCTTCCTCCAATCTTTGTAGTAGCCACGGATGTTTAGACAATTTGCATTGCCATTTTGATCATGAAGTAATAACTAAATGTGCGTTTCTAATGTAAAATTTTGTCCTGTACATTTAGTCTTAAATTTTTTTTGAATTAGAATACTTTATTTCAATTTTCTCTTATTTGATATTAGTTGCCGTAATTTTTTTTTTTTCAAATTATAATGCTTTATTTTAGTGGCAGAGGATGAAAGTTCTCCTTGATTTGATCCTATGGGATCTGCTTGATAGTTTAACACAGCTAGTCGCTTTCCATCATTTTCCTACTACATTTCTTTCCTCTTTAGTTTTTTAATTTAATTTACTTATCTACAGTAATTAAGAGAGGTTGCACTTCGAATATCATGTTATTTTTGTTCTTTGGTATCTCTCTCTCTCTCACGCACGCACACATGTATGTATGTATGCTTGTATATAGATATCGATATGCATTAAGAAATTGCAGTATATGCCAGCATGATGCTGCCTGCCGTGTAATAGCAAGATTAAAAAAGGAAAGGGATGAGGCAAGGGTACTTTTAGCTCAAGCTGAGAGACAAATTCCTTTATCAACCGCTGTTACAGCTAATGACAATGCCATTGTTAGCAATGGGAAAAGAGGTTTGTGTTTTTTTATTGATGTTGAAGTCTAATATTGAATGGAAAAGTAGCTACTTTTTTAACTAGTTATATACACCTATTGCAGCTGCAGAGGATGAATTTGGTCCTGATGGGAAAAGAGTTCGTCCTGGTATTACTTCTACCATTATTAGTGAACTGACAGAGTGTAATGCTATGCTCTCAGGACATAGGAAAAAGCGTCAGGTACATAATATTTTTAATTTAAATATTGTTTTCATGAATACTCATTAACTCATGTTTTTGAACATTTACGGTAGTTATTAAACAATAGAAATAGAAGTCCAGTGACTATAATTTGGAGAGATAATTTCTTATTTCGTATTCTTATCTAACAAAACTCTTCTGTGCTGTAACAAATCTCAGTTATTGAAAATGCTTTTGCTTGTTTACGGCTGTCATTTAATCTCTCTTTCTCTCCGTTTATATTTCTCAGGTTCCTCCAACATTGGCATCCATTGATGATTTGGAAAAATATACCCAAGTATCTAGCCATCCCCTTCATAGGACTAACAAGCCAGGCATTCTCACTGTGGATATCCATCCTTCGAAGGTAGATGTGTTGATATTTCTTCTCTTTTTGTCATTTTACTTTGGCGTGCAAAACTTTTTTGTGACGCACTCAAAATATAGGCCGAGTATGTATTAGGCTCGGAAGATGGTTTTACTTTTTCATGAAGAAATGCCAAATGGTGTTGCCAAGCAATGATGTTCATCAACGGAGTGGTCAACATTCATATTGTTGCTTTTTTGCATAAACAACGGATTTTATAGCTGGCATAATGGCAATTTATTTATCTATTTTGCGGTATGTATGAAAAGCCCTTAAAAAATATAAATGAATTAATGAACAAATAGAGGAAGAGGGGGAGAGGAGAGAGTGGTGTAGGAATAAAATTCAAAATATAAAATCAGGGATTAAGTCATTTTGCATCAATGCGGCTAGTTGGTAGCCTTGAGGATGATCGAATTGTAAGCCTCAAACTGAAAAAAATTTTATAAAATTCTGTAAAACATGATTGACACTTTCACATTCTTCAATATTGCGGTGTATGCATGCTAAATGGTCTTTTAGTTTTTGAAAACCACCATTAATCCTCGTCATAAATTTTGAAGTTCAAGTGAACTCTTTTTGACATCTTATTTTGTTATTTTAACTTAAATGTCATATTTACAAGTTGGTTTTTTCTTCTGGCACCATCGACCATGGTATACAAATAATTGATCGGATAAAAAATTCCATAAAAAAACAAAAAGAAAAAAAAAAGTTGAAAGGGAAAAAAATGAAAATAAAATTAAGTAAAGGTGCCAAAATCATCTATAAAGCATTTAAAAAAATAAAAAATAAAAAAAAATCCATTTTAAGAACCTATATAAGTTAACGTGGTTTAGTGTGTTAAAAATACTTAAAAATGGTTATAATTAAAATAAATACTTGAACTAAAACTTAAAAATCAAATTAAAAAAGATTTATATCAGGCATATACAATAAATTTAAATTTAAATAAGCTTTAAGTTTGTAGGTTTATTATAATATAATATGATAAAAGATTTTTAATTATTTCATTATAATTTGAGACACTGCTAACAAACCCCCTAAGGCATATACCTCAGTAAAAAAATGAGTTAGTCTTTTTCAGACCATTAAGTTTAATATTAGATGTGAAACTAGCCAAGTAACAAACATTTGAATTTTATAGGACACAAATTATTAATATTTAATTCTTTAAGTAATATTTTCAAGCTTTGATGAAAATTGAAATTATGATGAAAATAAATTATAGATGAAATCCCAATGACAATCTACTCAAAACAATGCTTATAAATTGAGGTCAACAAAGCTATACAAATACTTTCAAATTTATGCATTTGTTGGGAATTGGATTGTATCAAATTTGATTAAAATAAATGTCATTCTTTAAGTGGTAACAACATTCAGTAGAAGAAAGTACTAGTAGGAAAATAATTCACAAGAAGATTTAAGCATTTTGCTTGTATAAGGCGATAACCCCTCCTTGAAAATTTTGAAGTCCATCAGTCGATTGAGGAATTCAATCTTGAAAGTTGGAGTAAATGTCCAAATGAGAAATTTATTCATGTACAAGTTATTCGGTTTTCTATTTTCTGACCCCTATTTATAATGACAAACCTCAATAGGAATTTCCTTTATAATCAACCTGAAAATGAAAAAAGCCCCTAGAAAGGAAAAATATAAAAATATTAAAGTTGCGAAGGACTTGATTCTCGTAGTTCTTGAAGCATGTGATGGAAGGGAATCATCTCAAATGATGGAAACAAGAAGTTGGAAGAGATGGGCTATTAAGAGTCTGTTTGGGGTAGCTATAGTTTATTTAAAAGCTGCTGCACAACAACTGTGACAGAAAGCTGCTGCGGATAAACTGATTGTCTGTTTGTTTTTGTAGTTTTGAAACAACTGTTGCAACTATTTCTGAACAAATGACTTTTCTGCCTTTGTACTATACTGCTGTTTATAACAAAGTTGTTCATATTAACACATTCTACACTTGAAAGTAAATATCCAGTTCAAACATTACAAAATAAAAATCGTCACCTCACTAAACAATAACACAAAAATTAGAAAAAAAGACTATTAAAATTACAATTGATATCGTGATAATATTATTTTTAAAATGCACTTGATTTATGTCACGCGATAAGCCGTCCTCCAATGAAACTCTCAACGACCGATTACTATCTGCAGTGGAATTCTCCAACCCATTCGCCGTCCTAAAGAGGCCACAACATTCTGCTCTTCTTCTCGGACACTTGTAAAACGGTCTCCCATAGCTATGTTGCTGTTGCAAAGTAAGCAGAGAACATTGTAGTTCGCAGTAGCAGTAAAATGCTTTGGAGGTATCATAAATCTTTGAGTTCATTATTCCTGAAGGCTTAAAACCACAAAACATAGGCCCTTAGATATAATATTCATAAAAATGAATAATAGAAGTCATCAATTAAAGTTTTATGCAGTTGTGAGGTTTCAGAGAACACATTATATAAACTATCACTACAAGAAGAGAAAAAACCTTATAAAAAAGGGTTTTTGGTTGCTTTAACTCATGTAATATCGAGCTCGTGTGTGTAACATATGTGTATTATCAAACAAAGGGCTATTCAGAAGAATCTTAAAAGCCATAGAACTAAAAAAGGAGAGAAACTTAGTTGTCTCCATTGAGATTTCGCATGTGACAAGAACCAATAACGACATATAGTCCATCTAAAAGAATTCTTAAGGTCGATTGTCTCATCTTAGGCCTCCAAGACCAAATAAAAAAAACATGCAATAAAAATTTATATCCATGGTTGCCTCGTCGACCATCCAAGTGAGAATAATACATACAAAAGAGCAAGAAATATAATTGAGATTCAAAATATAGATAATTGGATGAGACATCGATACAATAAACAATAGTAATTTTCACCGCACATCGCAAATAGAGTAGCAATAAAAAAAAAAAATACAATGTGTCTGTTCAACAATCAATGATGATATTTGTGATCTGCTTTCACATTTCTATCATCTCCCACGCACCTTCCTCATTCTGGGTGCACCTCTCAAGTAATTCTTCTTCTGCCTATGATGAAGATTGCCCTAGGCGATATTCAAATGTTTCATTAAGGACATGTGAATTATTTTCATTAGTCCTGCTGACATCGTCATTGCGCTAGGAATGTCACCGAATATAGTTATGGAGAGCCATTGTGACGACTACAATCTGCAATTTCTTAGGAAACGGATATGCCAGTATATCGTGCAATATCATCTATTTTTTCTTCTACACTTCAAAAGTTCATTCAATGACACCGCGTAAGGATAAATCTCTTGTTAAACATTTCTTTCTTGCTCCGAGCGACATTACTAACTTTTTCAAAGTCAAGAATGTGATATTTGATATCTGAAAATGACTTTAGATACCCGATTTGTAAGGGATATCTATCATTGACCAATTAATATTTATCTGTCACAAATACAATAATTAGTATTGTTGTGAAAATATATCTAATTAGAGTTCATGGTGGAGCAAACCTGGGGGTATGCAAGGAAAGTTGTACTTCCAATTTCTTGTGGCAAATTTGAATATATGACTCGTGTGCACTTTCTTTCCAACCAACCATAACAAATGTAAAACACGTGTTGAAAACACATACAATCATTTTATTTTGTGTTGATGATCCACATCGCCTAATGAATAATATCTTTTCATTATTCGACACACATGCATCCACATGTATTCCATCGATCACTCTAATAAAATTATTAAAAAGTTAACAAGACTATAAAATACTATATTCAATTGACTTCTGGAATTAATGTATAAAAAGAATTATCTTGAAATATGACATATGACAGGTTATGTGTAATTTCTATGAGAGTCCTTTCAAATGTTGGACGTCTGCCTTGATAATTTTTGATGATAAACTTACTGGAACATTCAAACAAATTGAAAAGTATCCACTGATTGTTTTTGATGAGTGTTGGAATCGCTCCATGACTCCTCTCATAGATTTATTCTGTGATAAAATGCAGAGGATTATTGCTAAAACCTCCCTGTAAGTCATTCTGAAGGAGCCATGAAGTCCATGATTCCTGTATAGTTCATTCAAGAGTTAAATGAATATGGGCGGTGTCATACGAAACATATTTCTAAATATTGCCGAGTGCCCTAAAAGAAGCTCTTCAACCAATTTTTTACCAATTTATGATGAAGTCACGCAAAGAGATCAAGCTATGTATGGTTATAGTACTTATGCATCAAACACACCGCAACTGCAATTCATCTGCTGCTTCTCTCTCTTTGTGTGTCCATGTTATTCACTGTATATTGAGCCACTACATGTAATATTCAATGTAATTAGCTTTTGTCAAAACATTACCTAAACAAATAACAATCATATGTAAACTTGAAAAAGGAAAATAACAAGGTGTTAGATGAAAAACAAATATCCAAAGTAGCATTTACTAGTGTCACAGTTAAAAATAAATATTCAAGCAGCATAAACAGTGTCCCAACGAAAAACAAATATAAATTATCTACCAAATAGAAATGATCCTAAAGTTTTACTGTTCTCATGAAAATAACATAAATAATTGACAATATGATCAAAAGTCATCGTTACGAACTGCTCACTTTGGGTCGGGTCTTCAAGCAATTTCATAGAGAATAAATTCATGTCCGTATAAATTTTTGGGGTTGCTTCTAGAATACACTTAACGTGTTGAATTGAAGTTGTTTTTGAAATGCCAGTCATTAGTGCATGAAACAACTAATTGTGGCTTTTGGCTTCTAGTGAAAATAACATCTTTTTTCATTTTTTTCAACCCTCGTACGCTTAGAACAACTGGTAGATTCAACTTCATTAACGTTGAGGTTGGGGGCTTCATTTGAACCAAAAGTTATCTAGACATTCACACACTCAGCTTTGTCAGCAAACTCTCTCTCACTAGGGGTAATTGTATATCCACCCGTGGAAACAACTCCACTAAACATCGTCCAACTTTTCTTCAATCTCAGGGTCGCTTAAATTATTTGAAACCACCTATAAAGTAATGGGTTATTCATATGTTGATGTAATTAAAGAAATTAATAATTGGCAGGGGAATTCTTGCAACATAAATTCTCAGCCTTAATCTCTCGACCCACCATTCTTTGGAAGCATCTATGGTTCGTTTTACGGGGTCCCAACCCAAGCATGTGGATCCATGCTTCTACTCTTTCATATTTTCCAGTCATTTTTTAATTGATCCCACTTATTTTTTAATTGCTTTTGGTCATATTCCCTTCCAGTGCGTTCTTTGAACTTCTTTATTATATTTTGCCAACCGTTCTTATTAAAATAGGTAGGCGGCCTATTTCTTAATCTCTCCTCTTTAATACAAAGATCTTAGAAGAAAAGTTTGCCCTATTTATCCCACATGGCTGACGAACTAGTTTTTTTTGTTTTTACCTTGATGATACTAATAAGAAAAATCATCAAGCAACATAAATGCAAAACAGATGAAAAACAAAATGTCAAAAAAGCCATAACTTGAAAAGCCAACTAAAATGAAACATCACTACTAACAACACCACCATCACCTCTATTTGCACCACCAACATCGCCACTAACAACAACCCCATAAACAACCATGATACAACTTCACCGACAACATGACAATGAAGAACCACCCCCAACATTTACACACACCACCATCACACCATCTCCAACACACCATAACCGCCACTACAACCCATAAACTACAACATAATGAGAAAGAGAGCAACACCACTACACTATTTTCACCACACCACGACCATTACATCAACAGCACCACACTTTACCACCACTACAACCCATAAACGACACCATCATGTGAAATAGAGCAATGCCACCACACCACTTTTGCCACACACCACTATCACACCATCACCACCACACCATAACCACCACAACTCATAAACTACAACATATGAGAAAGAAAGCAACACCACCACACCATTTCTTCCACACCACCACTATGTATTAAAAAAACGCGGCGTAATCTCGACAATTTTCCAGGCCCCTACATTAGTTTTGAAAAGTTGATCACCATCCTTCTTTATCAGATCACAAATCACATTAGACAAGATGACCTCAAACCCAAGTAATTTTCACAAACTAAATTGAGCAAATATACCCATATCCTGAAATTGCCGTAGGCAAAGAAAACTCAAAAATCCATTCCTGCAACCAGAGATCAAAAAGAGCAAAGAGACCAAAAATCATAAAAGAATAAGGATATTCCAAATACTTCTCTTATTTTCTGACCCATTTATTATTCTGGTTGGATTCGGTTGACCCTATTCGGTTTGGGTCATTTTCAGGTTAGACCCGAACCCAACTCAACTTGAATTGACACCTCTAACCATTTGTGGTCAAGCCCATAATTCCTTTAATTCATAGGCTATAGAAACTAGACACTGTTTCTTTCCAAGTTCATTTCTTTTAACACAACAGAGGAGCTTTGCCTGTGATACGAATTAGTATCAAAATCAGCGAACAAATTGCAAGAATACATGGAAAAACTGAAATTAGGGTTAATTTGATTAATTTCCAAGCAAACAAATAAGAATAATGTAATTTGATTAAGCTCCAAGCAAACAAACAAGATATAATGGGTGATCTACAATTCGAGGGAACATCGACTCTCCACAATCCCTAACCCTAACATCTAAAATTCGAGAGGTAGACGATATTTACTAAACCCTAATCCTAATGTTCAAAACATCTTATTAAGCCCTATTTATACCAAATAAGCACTGATCTAATAGCCCAATGAATCCATTGGGGGACAAAATAGAACCTACCTGAGATCCTTAACAAAAAGCCATTGGAGAAGTTTGCAGAGAGTAATTGGAGGAGAATGCGGCTTGATGGAGACTACGAGTCTAGAAATTTTGCATGACGCTTAATAATAGGTTTATTATGAACCATATGAGGGTTTTTAAGTTTAGGATTGTAATACTTTTGGATCGGTTTTGGAGATCTGAAAACTACAATCTTGAACTGAATCAATTTTTTTTAGTTTTGGTTATTCTAGGAACATTGTGATAGAAGAGTACCGCTTAGACGGAAAGGAAAATTTTATAAGAGGGTGGTGAGACCTGCAATGTTCTTTGGCGTGGAATGTTGGCCTTTAAAAGAGAAGCATAATACTAAGTTAAGTGTTGCCGAGATGAGAATGATTAGGTGGATGAGTGGCTTTACACTTAAGAGACAAAATGTGAAATTAATATATTAGTGATAGGGTTGGTGTAGCTCTAGTGACAGACAAAATTAGAGAAAGTTGTATTAGATGGTTTGGTCACATAAAGCGTCGACCATCTGATGATCGGATTAGGAGAGTGAATGTTTTAGATTTGACTTATGTTAAGAAAGGCAGAGGTAGACCTAGAATGACTTGGGCTTATTATATACAAAATGATCCTAATTTATTAGAATTAAATGAAAATATGACACTAAGTAGGATGCAATGGAGAAAAAGGATTCATGTAGCCGACCCCATGTAGCAGGATTAAGGCTTTGTTGTTGTTGTTATTGTTGTTTCTGGGTTTTCTTGGAACATAATCTGTGTCATGATCTGTTGAGAATCAACTTGGACTGTTTGGTTTTGATGGTTTCATAGTTTGTTGGCTATTTTTGAGTACCCCCATGAATACTTTTAGTTATGCATGGTTCGTAGAAATATGTTGACATTCTTTGACTATTTTTATTTTTTTTACTCGAAATGAAAGATTTGTAAAAGATTATTATTTTGTTTGATTTATTGAGCTGTAATGTTTATTGGGATAGGCCAGCATTTTATGTGTTTTTGGATGATTTGCAGGATATCATTGCAACAGGAGGAGTTGATACAAATGCGGTAATTTTTGATCGTTCTTCAGGTCAGATACTATGTACGCTAACTGGACACTCCAAAAAGGTTGCGACTTTTAGTATTTCTTCATTATAGTCACCTCTATTTCTGTTCATATCACTAATTATGCATTTGATATTTTTCTTACAATTCTTTCAGATAACGAGTGTCAAATTTGTGCCAAAGGATGAGCTTTTTGTGACAGCATCTGGAGACAAGGTGTGTTCTCATGATATGCTTAAAATATGTCATTTTTTGCTCATTGATGTTCTCTTTAGTATATTTTGGGAGCTGTTATTTTATTATATTTATATAAATAAAATTATTATTATAACGGGACACTCCTAGTATGCCATTTGGGCCTGGAGTTTAGTTTTACGGACACTATTAATTGTGGTTGGCCAAGAAAGCCGTATAAATCAAAAATTCAAAATCAAATTTAAAAAAAAATGATTGATTCTGTTCACCATGAGTTAAAATAGGTTTTAGTTTGTACAATTGTATAAATTGATTGGTTCAGCTTGGTTTTTAGGGTTTAAGAAACTGAAGAAATTAGACTTGAGTTAAGCTTTTTAATTCATGATACATCTTTAATCTTTTAATAAAAAATAATGAGTTAAATTTATACCTTATGCAATTGTTTCCGAAGTTGAATTGTGATTTTGTTGGAAGTAGTGAATTTGTATTGGCATGTTCAAGAATTTTAAGTTTCACAAATATGTTGAATGCACGGTACATGATTTAATAATTTTTGAAGTTGTCAACTATGCTAAGTGGCTATTTTGTGTGATAAAGTTATTTGAGTTGGAGTTACGAGTAAGATTTCGAACATGTGGAAACATTAATTGTTTATGAACTGTGAGCCTTGGAAAGGGGGAATACTATTTGATGGAGGGTTTCACCAAACTTCTTGCAGCATGAGATCTTGACTATATTAGCATTCTTTTTATATATTGATGAATGACTATTGATGCTGCATGATTAGGTTAATTTCTAAGAGTTTGAGAAAGGTGTCATTATATAAATAAATTTCAAAGGTCGTGTAAGGTTGATTCTGTTTTAAGTTAATCCAGTTGATCTTAATCTTCATATCACGTGGGGCTTTATTATACTTTCTTAGCTCTGGTGCTTGAATCATTGTCTTTAGGTTTTTACGGTGCACTTTTTACCTCCTGGTCAGCCAGGATTATAAGCACATTAACCAGGTGCTTTCCCAGTGTTACTAAATGTTTTTATTTAGATTCTCCCATGATTAAAAATAGATGCTCTTTGTGCATCAGCTCATTAGAAACTGTGGATATTTACATATTAAATTTCACATTCTTCCATCTATAAGAATTTTGGCACTCAACTTTGTTAGTATTTTTATTTCGTTAAGACATTATTTGTTATCAAAATTTCTTCTCATCTCGGAGTCAACACCCCTCGGAGTCAACACCCGTTATGGAGTCATCAAATCTTTTTCCATTAGTGAAACTCGCTTGCCTGTAGACATTCAAGACCATGTGTTCTTGTACAGTGTTACTAAATGTTTTTATTTAGATTCTCCCGTGATTAAAAATAGATGTTCTTTGTGCATCAGCTCATTAGAAACTGTGGATATTTACATATTGAACTTCACATTCCTCTATCTATAAGAATTTTGGTACTCAACTTTGTTGTTATTTTTATTTCATCAAGACATTTGTTATCAAAATTTCTTCCCATCTCTGAGTCAACACCCATTATTGAGTCATAAAGATTTCTTTCCATTAGTGAAACTCGCTTGCCTGTAGACATTCAAGACCATGTGCTCTACTACAGTTGGATCCATATATTAATTGCACATTATCCTATATATTTTTGGGAAGGGTTAACTGTGAGATGCTGGTTTATGAGCGTATTTTACTGTGATGAGGTTTTTTTTTTGAATTATAGTAAGTTTTCAAACTAATGTCATTCAATTCCTTAAACACACTTTACTGCAGACTGTTCGTGTTTGGCAAGGGACTGACGATGGGAATTACAGTTGCAAACACGTCCTGAAGGACCATACCTCTGATGTGAGTACATTCGCTCAAAGCTTGCTTTTTAAATTTTGAGCATGTTGGCCATCTGTATTTTGCATTTTGAATTGATTGCCATCATGATTTCATGAAACTGATAGTTTCTTAGCCCCTTAAATTTGGTGGATAGCCAGTATTGCAGCATATTTTAGTCCTGCATTGTCTTTGTTTACCTTCATGCGTCGATCAGCAAAATAAATATTTACCATGCATTTCTGTAATTGAATATATAGACAAGTAAATAAAAAATATATAGACATGAACAATAATATGAGATTGTATTTAAAAAATAATTTTTGCATATTATTTAATGTTTTATTCTTGCCCGCAACTTCATCTATTCTGCTGTACATCATCCATTGCATTCGCAATCTGTTTCCACCTTTGCAATTGGTCACTATCTTTTGCCTTCGGCAGAGAAAAAATTAGGATTATATTTCTTCCAAGATCTTTCCCTTCAATGCTGAATATATTTTCTTCTGCCTGGACTGTGTTGAAGCGTTCGCTCTTGTTGACTTTTCCTTGATCATTATTTGTTTCACCATGGAAATTGGGGATAACATGGGGTTTTTGAGTCTTCATACTCTTTCAGAAAATGGTTTTTTTTGTATATTTATTATTGTGCACCTGGCAAATCCAAATTTTATATTTTCAGGATTTGTATATAGTTTTCAAGTAGTGTTCCGAATATTCTTTTTTTAATTTAACTAACTTGTTGCATTGATGCATATTTGATTCCCTTATCCATTAATATCTTAGATATAACATATAGTAGGGGCATTTACATACATAGCACCTAATTATTATGTAATTACATATTGAACTCCTAAACTTTACTTTTTACATTTTTACCTCCAAATATTTCATATGACATAAAAATTTTAACTTGTAAAAGGTGGAATACATCTTTTCATGCGTAGGTAAAATGTTATATATGTAAAAAATAAAGTTTGAGTGTTAAATATGTAAAATACATAGGAATCAAGGGTCTGTTTGGGGAAACCGCTTGTGTTTGAAAAAACAACTGTAAAACTGCTGAAAAAGAAGCCGTTGTTCGAAAAATTGTGATAGCTATTGCAATTATTTTTTTTTTTTTTTTTTTTTTTTTGTGAAAAAGTTAGACTTCAGCTTTCTAGTAGTCACTGTAGGTAGCCAAGTCTGGTGGGAAAATATAGCTTTCAGTTGCGATTTTTTTAGAATGTAGACAATACACGATTTTGCCAAACATAAAAAACTGCATCCTAAGTGATATGTTTGTAAATCATCCATTAAAGTATTTGCTGAAAGCAATGCATTTTGCAAGCTATATGCTATAAACTAACGTTTTCTTCTTTATAATCTCCATGAACATGAAGAGTTCCGTATAGTTGGTCATTATTCTAGTAATTGGTGGACCAAGTTTTCTTAAAGGAAAGGGAACGCTACTTGTAAACTTCTTTTTGTCCCAGTTATATCAATGTTTTTTTTTTAAATCATTTTGGTCTTTATGATCATATATTACCTAGGCCATCGTAGTATTTTCTATTAAATTAATTTGCTTTTGATGACCTACTCTAACTTGAATCTATTATGCTGTGAAAAATTTATTTGCTTTGGATGTGAAAGTTCTTGAAAATGTGAGGCTTAAATCTCTCCCAGGAGGCTATTTTTTTGAGATTTGAGATTATTGGCTCTCTTTCTTCATTTTAATCCATCTGCGAATTTATTTTCATTTTTTTCTTTTCTAATAAAATGATAAATTGTTTTAATTGTTAGTATGGCTAGCATGAGATATTTCTTTTAATTATTAGTATGGCTAGCATGGGTTCTTTGTTGTTTCATGTTTTGTCTCCAAGATTATGGAAATTTCACCATCCTACTAATTTACAAGTGATCCAGCATTTACTTGAGATACTTTGCCTTGAGACTTATTCTTACGTATTCTCATCTCATTTATTTATTGCATTATTTTCTCGTATAATATGTTTATCTACTTTTTATCTGTTGCGTTATTTTTTTGTTCTAAATAGGTCCAATCAGTGACGATCCACGCTACTCATAAATACTGTGTCACAGCTTCTTTGGACAACACTTGGTGTTTCTATGATCTTGCTTCAGGAACTTGCTTAACCCAGGTCTTCAATATACCACCTTCTCATCTTTTCCATTCATGGAATTGTGTCTGTTCGGTGGACTCATTAGTTAATAAGATTCATCTGCAGGTTGGCGAACCGTCTGGACAGGAAGGTTATACTTCTGCTGCTTTCCATCCTGATGGACTTATCCTTGGAACTGGAACTTCTGATGCCCTAGTCAGGATTTGGGATGTGAAATCTCAGGTTTAATGATTTTTCTCTAGATTTATGTGGATGAGAAGATAATCTTTTCTCGTGCTAATTTAACAATTTTGGCAGTCAAATGTTGCCAAATTTGATGGACACATGGGATCTGTAACAGCGATTTCATTTTCCGAAAATGGTTATTTCCTTGCGGTATGTGCCCTTTTGTAATTTTAAAATTAGTTTCATGACCAAGATCATGAATTGATGCCCTGCACTCTACTTGAACCAGACGGCAGCCCTTGATGGTGTTAAGCTTTGGGATCTTAGGAAATTGAAGAATTTCAGATCGTTTGCTCCTTATGATGCAAATACTCCAACAAATGCCGGTATGACTGTTTTTCATGATGGGCACATTTTAGTTTTCAACTTTTTTTGAAAGAAATCTTGATCGTCATATTTGGCTTCTTTTTCAGCTGTGGTATCAATAGTAATTGAATCAGAACACTTGCCTATTTTATTTATTTCCTTAAAAAAATTGCCTTTCTTTTCAATGCATGAAACACTCTTTATCATTTTTTTTTTGCTGTGTTCGAAATACTTCTTTTACAGAACAGACTTAGTGTTGAACAAAACAGTGCCATCACTAAATGACATCATTAAGTACATAATTAGTTTATCTTCTATTACTATTAGTATAACTATCAAAATATGATATATGATATTATACAATTTAGCAGTGACTTATATAATTCAAAATATTTCTCCTTGCATTGTCATTTATCAAGTGTTTCTGTAATCAATCAAAATCTTTGGCATGTAAACTCATGATACAAATTGTTTTCTATTTTCTCATAATCATATTAAGGATTTTTGTAAGTGAAACAAATCTAATTTTGCAAGATATAAAATCTAACGTACGACAATATGGCTTTATGTTTTTGATGTTGCTAGAAGCTTGATATTCTTTAGATTTTATGTGTTATGTTATTTTTTCTAAAAAACTATTTTGGTTGTTCTAATGTTACTTAGCCTTAAAACATCTTTTTGCTTTGAGTGGAATTATTGCATTTGAGATTGAAACCGATCTTTGGTCATTTGCATATTACTAGTTAGTAGAAGCTGTTCTTTTTTTGTCGTTTGATGAAATTTAATTATTTAGTCTTTTTTAATTATTTATTTTCACATTGACAGTTGAGTTTGACTATAGTGGGAATTATCTTGCTATTGCGGGCTCCGATGTAAGGTATGCCTTTGAATCTTTGTAAAGAGAGAGAGACGATCCTTGAAATTTCTACATGCTCATTCAGATGTTACGAAATTATTTCCTTTGATTGAAACCATATATTTTAAAGTTTAGTGATAGAACTCATTGATGTTGCAGGGTTTACCAAGTTGCAAATGTAAAGTTGGAGTGGAATCTCATCAAGTCTTTCCCTGATTTGTCAGGAACAGGTCATTTTGCTTCTTTGCTGGCTACGCTAAACATCAAATTATCTGTCATTTAAGTTGCATAATTCCTCATCAAACTTGTTATTTCTGCAAGATTTAATTACAGACCACTAAATTCCTGTGTTTACATATCAAACTTTTATTTTTTGCAAGATTTACTTACATACCACTCAATTCCAATGTGATCACATATCTAAAACCTAAATTTCAATATATATATATATATATATATATATATAGGTGTTGAAAACGGTGCGAACGGATGATAAGATGGCGTTGAGCCCATGCAATCAACATCGTTGGCATAGTTCCCACCATCTTTGAGGGGAAATGTGTTTTTCAATATATATATATATATATATATATGTTATCTTATCTATGCATGAGAAAGGGTTATTTTACATTTTTAATAGTTAACATAATGGTATTTTTTTATGCGATATAAAAGATTTGGGCACTATAAATGTGAAGAAGTGACCTAACAATTGGGTGGTATATTTGTAAATGGCCCTTCTTTTTATTTTATTTTTTATTTTTGGGTTGATTTTTCTACTATCCTTTCAGGTAAAGTTACATGCGTCAAATTTGGAGCGGATGCCAAGTACTTGGCTGTTGGCTCCATGGACCGAAACCTCCGGATCTTCAGTCTCCCAGAAAATGAACCAGAAGAGCTCAGATCTATGGACGAGGAATGAAGGATCGAAAATACATCCAGCGGCAAAAATGCATCAAGTTCAGCTTTGCATCAGTTCTGAGATAATAAATGGAGATCCAAAGGATTGGTGAGTAAATTATTGACAGCTCAACTGTTATTATAATTCCTGTCGCTTTGTTCCTTATTGCCTTCCAAGCAGTGGATAGTGATGGGAGGATTTTTTATTGGGATGGATAATTTTTCCTTCTGTCAAGTTTTTGTATTATAGTCTGTAGCACACATTGCGTTAATTTCATAATTTTATTTTGGATTCTTCATAAAGCTTGATGTTATATTGTACTTGAAGAAACAATGGAGAAATTAGATTTAATTTTTTGTGAAAATTACATGCATAGCATAGCACCGGAATCATATCGATTTATCTATCTAAAACCTATGCTTTCACTATGGATGAAAATGTGGTTTGATTATTAGATGATGGTAATATGTGTTATTTTTCATATGATATTTGTAGTTATGGAAAGTTTCGGTGTGATAGATAAATATAAAAATTTTGGGTGATGTTTGTAAAAGCCCCTATTTTTTTTTTATATAATTTTGTGGCTGGGTTTTTGCTGCAGTGACTTGGAACAAGCATGTTACTCAGTTGTCAGTTTGGAACAGTGATGCTACGTTGCTCGATTGATTGTGATTGTTTGGGTGATGTGATGGTTTTTATTAAATTGTTTTTGGTTCATTTTTGTATGAAAATACCCTTTTTATAAACTTTCTAGGAACATTCGGCAGCCGATCAACTTGAACGTCAGGCGGTTGATCGACACTAGATTTTCATTCACATTTTAACGTAACTTTTACTTAACAGATGTCTATTCAATCATTTGGATAGTTATGGTAATCATTCTTTCTTTTTTATGTAATTGTATTTTGAGATCTCTATAAATAGCAGGTTATATCATTCCCTCTTTTATGCTCACAAGCTTTAACACTTGGAGTGTGTTTCCAGGAAGATAAAATAGAATCCAACATCCTAAAAGGTGGTGCAATGAGCGTTGATATGTCATAGACGAGTAGCAGAGCGAATTACGAAGAAGAATCACAATAGAGACAAATCGCTGATGGAGTTTAAATGGAGAGTGTGAATTGGGAGATTCAACGCAAGTTCAAGAGTTAAGAGAGCAGATGATGGGCCAATTTGAGGCCTTTCAACAAGCAATCATTGAAAGGAATGATTAACCTTCACTTCTAAAAGTTTGGTCTCGGAGAACTCACCCTCTGGGATTCCCCTGAAGCGACCACAAGCGCCCAATGGGCATGCCGGTAATCAGATGACCAAAGGGGAAGGAGAATCCCAACATTAGATCTACACCGATGTTTAGTCATCGGGAGGAGCTTGTTGAAGCACATGCTCAACATACTCCTGACAACGCTTTCACCCGATGAATTTTGGCGGCTATATCGCCAACGGAGCTAAGTGTTACTCAATTGGATCCCTACAAGGGGAAAAACTATCCAACCGACCACTTAGCTTCTTTTAAATCATTGATCAGAATACTTTAGATTAGAGATGTGATGAAGTGCCGCCCTTTCTTGACTATACACTCAAGGAGTGCTCATTGTTGGTTTCTCATTCTACCGGTTGGTATCATACCAACCTTCACTGAGTTCAAGAAAATTTTTGTGGCACACTTCATCAATATGCATTCAAGAAAATTTTTGTGGCACACTTCATCAATATACAAAAGTTGAGGAAAAAGTCTCAGGCTCTACTACAGATAAACAAAGGTGAGAATGAGAGTTTACGTTCTTGCATCATAGATAAAAGATTTACAACCTTTGATTGCTCAGATTGCTTTGACACAAGGGGTAAGAAAAGGGCGATTCAAGTTGACTTGAATCTGCTTGAACCAACATCATTTTTCAAACTGTTGGAGATGACCAACAATCACATCCATGCCGAAGTGGCTATTGTCCCTCACGCCAAGTCGATTCATCCAACCATTAGTCGAAGAAGAGGAAGGTGAATGAGGAAGGATAGAAGTTGTGGGACCACTGGAATCCTTCCGGTCGTCAGCACTATGACAACAACCAAAGGCCACAGGAGAAACATGGTTACTCTGACCAACGACCAAGGTTTAACCTCGCTAAATGTCTTAATGGCCAAGTTAGTCTCAACCATACAAAACAAGGAGTATCTCAAGAAAGCTCCTCAGATGAAGAGCACACCAATGCTCCATAATTCAAACAAATATTGTGATTACTATCGTGATCACTGGCACAACATGAAGGAGTGCTGCCAACTTGGCGGAAGAGCTAATCAAGGCAAGAAAACTCAAGGAAATTGTTGGTGTCAAAGGGAAAACACAACCACGGGGTAAAACTCTAGCTAAGGAAACGTTGGGTGGAACAATCAAGGGAAATAAAGTACAAAAGCTGGAATCATCCCGACTATCTTTGGAGGAGATGGAGAATCATCTTGTCGATCCGACCATAAGAGGCATCGATTGACAGCGTTATTTTTTGTCGCAAATTATAATTGTATCCATCCTCTCATTGGGTTTATTGGTGTAGATCTTCCACCGAAAAGAAATCCATATAATAACACGATCGTTGTTACTGCGTTGATCAACAACTATCAGGTGGGTAATATTTTGGTGGACACCTAAAGTTTGGTGAACATCCTTTTTAAGATGGTGTTCAACAAAATTGGGCTCAAAACCGATTGTTTGATAACACTGACTACTCCATTGTTTGGCTTCTCTGGAGAGAGAAAGGAAGCTTGGGTGTCATTGCCTTTGCGTCTTGTGGGGCTAACAGGAGAACCAGTACACAAGCACGAAGGACTTTCAGGTGGTCGAGTACCATCCAACTTACAATGTCATATTCGACCGACCACTGTTGAACATTTATCAGGCAGTAGCATTGACTTACCATGTGGCTATGAAGTTTTCGGGTGATGGAGAAATGATCACGATCTGAAGAAACTTGGAGTAGTTAAGGAGTTGCCACTTGTGGGCGGTCACTAGAATTGATCACAAGCCGCTCGATATTCAGATCCGGAGGGAAGGGGACCTCGAGACAAATGAGACCATCCTTGAGGTACTTGTGTCTGGCAAAGGAGAACTTGGTCAAATTTTTATAATAATTGTTAGCTTTGATGTAGGTTATAAAAATGTGCTGATCCCGACCCTTCGTGAGCATCATGACGTCTTTGCTTGGACAATGACGGAGATGCCTGTAATTTCGATCAACGTTGTTTGCCATCGATTGAATATCAGTCCAACAACCGGTGTAACAGAAGATCAGATTGACTGCTAGAACTCTAGATGAGCCGATATCAGCAGAGATACAAAAGTTGAGAGAGGCCAGCTATATTCGGGAAGTTCAGTAGCCAATTTGGCACTCGAATGCGGTGATGGTTCGGAAGCCCAATGACAAGTGGAGGATGTGCGTCAACTTCATAAATCTCAAAGCTGCTTGCCCGAAGGACACCTGCACTTTGCAAAATAATTAACACACTAGTGGATGCAGCGGTAGGGTACTTCGTGATTAGTTTTCTCAACACTTTCTCTGGTTATCACCACATCAAAATGCTTCCGACTGATGAGAGAATGCCTCTTTCATTACCATGCAAGGCGTCTTTTGTTTTTTTGTAATGCCCTTTGGACTAAAAAATGCTGAGGCGACATATCAGTGTCTTATGGATGTAATTTTTCTGAATCAGAAATGAAAAAAATGTTGAGGTGTATGTGGATGATATTTTGGTTAAATATAAATCAGTCGAACAATACTGAGACGATTGACTCCAACATCAGGCGGTCGGCCGACAACAAATTTTCATTCACATTGTAATGTAATTTTACTTGACAGACACGCCCATTCAATTATATGGACAATTATAGTAACTGTTCTTCTCTTTTATGTACTGTTTGTTGAGACCTCTATAAATAGGAGTTCATGATATCATTAAAATAACTTTTAGATTCTCTCATACTTGAGAGTTCTCTTCTTACAAGCTCTAACTCTCAGAGTGTGTTTCCACGAAGCCAAATAAGGATCCAACAAAATAGCATTTTGATGTTTTAAATCTATAATTGATTTTCTAAAACTGATAATAGTGTTATTTTTTTGTGCTATTAGAGATTTAAGTGCTGTGTATAGAAATAAAATTTTAGAAGTGAGATATATAAACGTTAGAATTACATTTACGTAGATGCCCCTTTAATTTATTATTAAGTTATTCCAATTAATATTTTAAATGAAAAGATTTTAGATTAGTATTTACGTATTTGCCCATCTTTCTTTTGAAAAATCTGGAAGGTTCCACTCTGCTTAATGGCAAGTTTACATGCATACATACATACATACATACATACATACATACATACATACATACATATATTCAATTATGTTAGGTATGGTTGAGCAAAAGTCATTATCCAATTTTAATTCCCAAGCATGGCATAAAGTATTCCAAGCTGGCAGTTGCCAGGGTTTTATATTTTTTAAAGTAAAGTACAAAAATGGTCCCAATTATTTAATGGTTTAGTTTTAATTTAATATTTTATAGAAGTATCAAAATAATTCCTAAATTCATTAAATTGGGGCTGAATAGTACTCGTCGTGGATTATTAGAACTCAATTTTAAAATACCAGAAGACTGTTTACATAGATTAAAACAGTCCTATATCTATAGAACTGGCGCTCGATTATGTGTGGACTTTACTATATTATTTTTATATATGTTATTATTATTATTATTTTGATAATTAGGAGATTTTAAAGATAAACTATTATAATTTAAACTATGGAGGGGCATATTAGATTTAATTAGAGTTAATTTTAACATATTTATCTTACTAGATGCTAACTTAATTAATTTGGTGATTGTAAAAAGTGATTTGATCATCAATCAACACAAAATCTTCTTTGAAAATACATCATGTTCTTATATCCATGGAAAATAAGAAATATTTTATTTTAGTTTGCCTTCAAAATTAAAACTAATTTCTATGATGTAATCAAATGATTTTGATTTAACTAAAAAATTAACCAAAAAAAATTTATTATATATTTGGGTTCACATGTACATTAAAATTTGCTTTGTGGCACCACTCACCCAACGCCCAACCACCTCCCAAAAATCAAAAATTGATGTGCACGTTGCCAGCCATCATGCAACGATATGTAATTATATGTTTTTTAATTTGCACAAATGGCCCATGGGAAACGTTGGCATGTCCATATCATCAATCAAGCAGAGGAAAATAAGGAGTTGGCCTACTTCTAAGAATATCATGTATTTGTGTGTGGGACTGATTTTCTAACCATTTACAGCATGTTAGATAATCCATTCCATTCACAACATCCAAATATTTTGATAAAGCTCATGTATATAACAT